CGCGCGGGCCCCGGGCCGGGGGGCGCCCCCCCCCCAGCCGCTGGCCACTCTCCGAACAGTGCCATGTGAAGTGTTTGTCTTGTCCAGTGCTTAACACCCACTCCATCTCCAGGACAAACAGAATCATCATGACTCTGCTTTGATGAGCTGAAAACGAAGCAGACAGATGTGTAATTGCATTGTGTAGGAGAACATGGGGGGCGGAAGACCGCTGCAAATACTATTGACACCCAACTCCTCCGCTCCCTACTCACCTGCTCACCCTTCCCTACGCAAGCGGCTGGTGTTTAATAATCCTGCTGACATGAGCTTCCATGGAAGCTCCTAAGGTCCCTGCTCTCCGTGTTCAGTGTTTGTATGAGAAAGAGCAGAAGCAAGACTCGATTCCTTCCAGCCATTTGTCTTCTCCAGTAGCACAAGTCTTCCTTCCAGCATTGTATCATCACCCACAAAACTGCCGTTGTGGGAAGGACTCTGGGCTCTACTTAAACCTCTTCCCGGCTGGTTTTATGACAGCGGTGCAGACGCTTATGCTGCCGCTCCTCCTGCTGTGAGGCCTGGTGAATCTGGGCTGCGGACTGTGGTAGCCCAGGAGAACGGAAAGTTACAGCACAGGCACAGTCCTGCACCAAAGCAGTTTTAGCATTGCATGCAAACTAGCTAAAAAGGAAATTGGAATAAAATAATAAATAAAATAATAAATGAATAGACCTAAAAAGATCACAGCTGGGCAAGATGAATAAAACAGCTGAAGAATAAATTTTTACTGCTACCTAAATAAAGCCATCGCAAGCTTTTCATTAATGCAAGGGAGCCCAGCCTTGTACAGAGCTTTCTTTTTTGTGTGTGTGAATGACCAGTGGGCTTGGTTGTGAAGTGCTGATTGAGCTGACTTTTTAATGTAACAAGTGGCTGGAAAGACTTGGAGAATTATTCTCAGCTGTAACAGAGCGGCGAATGCCATATTCCTCAATCCACAGCCTTACTGGTTTATTACTGTTCTGAAAGCCAGCAACACGTGTCGCACAAAGCAGGCTTCTTCTATTTGGCTGTGTAAAAGCTGACACACTGGAAAGATTAAATATCTTTCGATGCTTAAAAACCAGCTCCAAATCTCTATTCGAAATGCAGAGAAACTCCTCTGAACCATACGGACAGATTGCTGCCTGCACTGTACAAACAGACCGCACAGATGAGATCTGCATTCAAACTCTACGAGGGGAACCAGTTGTAGCAAAGAATAGGAGGCTTGCACAAACCAGCATCTGACCCTGATCACACGGCTTTTCAGACCCCGATTCCCCAAGGAGAAAAGTCAAAAGATGCATTGACACAAGTTGCCACAACTGTGACTGGCATCTGGACTAGTTTACAGCATCAGACTCGAACCATGGCGAGACCACAGGAGAGCTCAGATTCTGGCTCTCGTTCCCACACGCTGTTATGCTCTGGGTTTTCAGTCAGGATGGGGGCTTGGAGACCACCCAGGAGCCACTTGAGCTCTTTTAAACACATCCTCTCTTCTTTCCACTCTCCAGATTTCTTCTCTGGGAAGAAATTCAGTAAGCCCGCAGGGGACTAAAGCTTGTCTTGACCTATCTGTTGGTCCCTCTGGGAGCACTTGCACTAGTTGGTGGAGCGGTGAACTGCAGAGATGGCCATGATGGGATACATGCTGCTAGAACCTGATGGGCTCATAACTCGCACCTCGAGTCCTGTGTGCAGTTCTGGGCTCCACAGTACAGGAAGGACATCGAGGTGCTCGAGAAGCTACAGAGAAGGGCAATCAGGATGATTAGGGGAATAGAGGGTAAGTCTTATGAAGAGAGGTTGAGGGAGCTGGGGCTGTTCAGCATGGAGAAGAGGAGGCTGGGGGGAGATCTTACTGCTCTCTACAACTACCTGAAAGGCAGCTGCAGTGAGACGGGTGTTAGCCTCTTCTCCCTAGTGAATAGCAATAGGATAGGAGGGAATGGGTTCAAGTTGCGCCAAGGAAAAGTTTAGATTGGATATTAGGAAAAACTTCTTCACCAAAAGGGTGGTGAAGCACTGGAATGGGTTCCTGAGGGAGGTGGTGGAGTCACCATCCCTGGCCATGTTTAAAAAACGTCTGCATGTGGCACTTCAGGAGACGGTTTAGTGTTAGGGTGGTGTAGGGCTGTAGGTTGGACTTGATGGTCTTAAGGTCCTTTCCAACCTTGATGTTTCTATGATTCCACACAGCAGTGCCGTAGACAGACCCATGTACTTCCACTGGATGTGCAAAGCTGCCCAAGTTCAAGGTCTGTCCAGGGATGTTTTATCAGTGCATGGCATCTGCTGCTGCTAGTGCTGGCTTCCCATGGTTTGAACTGGCCATGGGGATAGCTGGCACCGCTCAACTCTCCTAAATTTCTTCCTATTTCCTGCTAAAACTTCTTCTAAAAGGCAGGGCTTGTACCCTTGGCTAGAAGGACTGCCTATGGATGGTGAGGCAGGCCTCTCTGGCAACCAAGAAGCAGACATTAAAGAAATGTGTACATGCCAAGAAGTAGAAGGGGTTTACATGACAGCTTTACTTATCCTCCCTTCCCAAAAAAGAGCTTTCAGTTCAGCACTCTGTTGTCCACCTGCAAGTGCTGCACGTATTAGCTGGTGTCACCACACACAAGCTCATGGCAGAAATATCCAAACCAAGTATGAGACCATGGTGGAGGTCATCTAAGTAAGGGAGGAAGGAGAGGACAAAATGCAAGTAGAAAGTAATTTGTCATTTGAAGGGAATTTGACCCATATAAGCCTTAAAGAAGGAAAATGTCAGAAGGTCAGAAGTTGACAGAAGAGCAAGGAAGAGATCTGGACCCTAGGAGTAACACAGGTTCACAGTCATGGAGTAGCAAACAAAGAGCTGGTCCTTCATCCACAGAATGTTTGATCACCATTTCTGTGCAGGAAAAAAAGTGTAGCAAAATGATTCAAAAGCAGCTCACTGCAACAACAGCAGAATGGAGAAGGGGGGATGGACAGTGAGTCTGGTCACAGTACAGACAAAGTCACAGCAAGCACCAGGCAAGAGCAGATCTGTGTAAACCAGCATGAGAAGAAAGCTCATGTAAAGGGGTAGATTACAGAAGTTAGAGAACCAGCAGACAGAAGGGAGCAGGTCCATCTGCAGCTGGAGAGTGGAAGGAAGAAGGGGAGTTGTACTCCTGTGAGAAAACAGCAGGGAGCACTGTGCAAAGAGCAGGTTGGAGAGAGGATGGAAGGGCTGTGCCTAGAGAAAAGAAGGTGTAGCCAGGAGGTGCATGCCAGGACATCAGCAGTCAGAGCTCAGGAGAAAGGGAAGTCTGTGCCGTGTGTGAAGGCGAAGGTCTGAGAAGCGCAGCCAGTGCGTGGCCGTGCACAGCACGAGGCTGTGCTGGGTGAAATTGAGAGTCACAACAACAAAAAGCAGCAGCAAACACCGAAAGAGAGGTGGAAGTTAATAGTGAGGAAGAAAAGTTTAGCATGTGCAGGAAAAGCACAAGAGAAGAGGCTGTGTGCAGGGAGGCAGGGGAACACCCTCAAAATGGGCAGGCTACAGAGAGCACGGGGCAGAAGCAGGTCTACAAGACCTGCTTGGCAGAACAAGTGCATGTTAAATAATAATATTAATTAAAAAAATTATTTAAAAGGCAGGAGATGTTATATTATCCAGAGGGGGCACAGATTAGAAACACAGCCCCTGGCAAGAGGGTGCAGTTGCAAAGGGCAGGGTGGACCAGGCTGCACAAGACTGGAAACAGCAACAGTCATGAAGCAGGAGCAACCTGTAAGGGGCTGGAAGCTGAGGCTGCTGAGGGAGGGAAGGGGTTCTTCAATCCCCGTAAGTCTCACAGGAATGTGAAAGAGAAGGTTGCTATGAGCGTTGGTTGTCCCTGCCGGCAGCTGGTACTGTAGCTGAAGAAGAGGGGGTGACAACAGTTATGCAAGGCCGACACAGAACGAAAAGTTTAATTTCCCAGAGCACTCCAAAGGGCACCATTCAAATGCTTGCACTATCCCCCCTCACAAAAGGGAAGGAGTTGGTACCTGTAGGAGGCCAACACCCCGTGACCCACCCTGGAGTCCTGACTAACACTGTGTCACATCCCCAGTCTCTGTGTTTTTATCTCTTTCAAGAAAAAGAAGATTTCACAACCTCAGACACAACGTTGCAGCAAAACCTCCGTACAGCCACTGTATGTCACCGGACCTCGCCACGGACCCCTGCCAGGACCAAAGTGTAGCCTGTGTCACTAGCAAATCATTTGGCAGATATATTTGCAGCCTTTTAAGATACAATTTATGTTCTTTAATCACTACAGCAGCTTCAGCTACTTGTAATAATCAGCAGCCCACCAGATGTGGGCAAAGTGCTACTTTTAAGGGCACTGCCGAACACCTACAAACAAAACTGGCACACACACAACCAGTCAGCATGGCTAAGCTAAAGCCCTTTGGTAGGCTAAATAATTTTATTTGCTCCCGTAAAATATTTTTAAATAATATAAAGGCCTTACTTAAAAACTTTAAGTAAAATCAACTTTTTTAATAAGCAAGGCTTTCAACAAATGAACCCCTAGAAGGTGTCCAAACCCAACGAAACTACATATGCTTTTTTAATCATGTTTTAACCTGCCCCGGAGCTTTACCAAGATGCTTATGCCAACCCCTATACTTCAGCAGGGCCACGTGAGGAATGTGTACTACAGGGATGGGATGACGGAATCTTCCTGGACCAGGTGAGGAAGGTTCATCTCTGCTGGATCATGACATGTCTACCCAAAGGACTATGTGTCCCTTCCCTGTGCCTTGTCCCAGACAGCATGGAGCACACGGGGCTCTTTTCTCTTGGCTGTATCCCTGCAGCCAGCTGGCCCCAGTAAGCCCAGATCCAGTGTTCTGGATGGAGGCAATTGTAGAAAGAGGAGCATGGAAGTGCCCACTGCTGCATGGTCTGGTGGAACTGCAGGAATCTGTGACGGAAAACAGCTCCCAGAGCATCTTGCTTGCACGACTCTTCCTCAGCAGCCCAGACCTCCAGTATGGGTCCAGCTGAGCCCAGAGAAGTGCTGCACTTCCCCACCAACACACAGTGTGAACAGTGGAGAATCAGGGAGCATGTCTCTGTGGACAAGTGTGGCAGGAGGCACTGTGCAGATGAGCAGCAGGCAGCCCGAGGTTTTCAGCACACTGCAAACAGTAGGGAATATCTGCTTTGTTTTCCTCCCTTGCACTGTCAAAAACCCGCCCACTGCAATTGCAACCTGGGGACTTAGTGTGATGTTTTCTAGCGGAGTTGAAGCAAGCTGAGATTGCCCTTGGAGTTGCTGTAACCTACTTGGTGCAGTGTCATTTCTGGTCTGGACAGAGGAGTGTCCCAGAGGAATTTGTGTAGCTCAGCATGGGTTGCCAGCAATGCTGGTAAGCTGGGCAGAGCATGCCTTCATGCAGAAGGTCTCCTCCATCCCCATGTCCTGCCTGGATGGGTTATGGCAGCAGTTGGGCGGCGCTCTGGGTTTTTTTTTCTGAATGGCCCTTCACTGAGTCCTGTCCCTCCTGTAGCAATGGATGGAGATCAGCTTTCCCTCCTCTCTGGTCACTATCTCCATTTGCAGCATTAACAGCACTCTGGCTTCCCTGAGCCATCAGTGGGAGGAGAATAAAAAAGAAAAGAAAAAAAAAAAAAAAAAAAAGCATCTCCAACAGTATCCGAGGGCGTATTTTTCCAAAATCCACCTTTTGCCCACGTGGCAATGCTTCTTTAACACTTGCACAGAGGGGATTACTGTGCAGACACCCCCACACACTTGAATTTGGGGGATCCCAGCAGCCTGGGATCACCACGCTTTCTTTCAGTTCCCCAAACTAGGTCACACACACTACCACTGTTTTTTAAAACTAGAGAGATACAGTTCTCATCAGCTTAAACAAGGAAAAGATCAAACATCAAACTCTGGAAGCAAGGGAGGTAAATGGGGCAGGGGCAGTGAGCACTGCACACATTGGCTTAAGCGTGCCTGAAGGCAGACACTGCCCACCACCAGTGATCACTATGGTTTGGGCTAAGACCTGAAGTGATGCCTCTTCTGGGCACAAGTATTGCTTCTTTTGCCCTAAAATAAGTCCACGACTTTCAGATAAAATCTTCTAATATGTCGTCTGAGAGTTCTGCCACAAAATTATCAGAACTGATCAGAAAACCTTCCCATGCTGAGACAGGCAGTTCTAGGAAGGTGGTGACCCCAGCTGGGACTGTGGTCAGTTGCGTGGCCTCTCTACTGACCCCCAGAGTCCTCTGTTGTCCAGCATTTGGGGGATGTCATCTGAATTCTTGAGGTTCTCCCACAGGACAACCCATGGAGGTCCTCCGTAGCATGTGCCTATTCAAAGGTCTCCTCCAACGCTCTGCAGCAGCAGCACATCACACATGCTGCAGCAGAAGGCCATGAGAACAGCCTTCATTTTCTTCTTTTTTTTTTTTTTTTTTAAATTTATGAGGGTGCACCCCTAGGTGGGCTGCCACAATCAACTGGCTATTCTGCCACGCTGCCAAGACATACCTTACCCCGTTCCAAAATTTTCAGTCTTTTCCCTGAAGAGCTTGGCAAGAAAGGTGGTCCTCATGCATATATTGTTCTGCATATGCAGAAGAAAGGACTTCAGCTCACCCCTCCTAGGCTGTGAGCAGCCTACAAGATCAAATCCAAGCATGCAAACGGATGAGCTAACAACAAAGGCAGCTGCAGAACAGTAGGACTCTTCAGTGCAACAAGCCTTAAATATGAAACCTAGGGGCATCAAACTCTGGTGATTGTGAAGCAGTCTCAAATTCAGATACTAAAGATCCATACAGTCAGATAGCAGCAATCTTATTTGAGATTCACATATGTATTTTATCATAATTGGATGTTTGTCTTCTGTTTTTACAAGCTAAGAAAAAATGCTGAAGTAAAACACTCAAAAGCTAATGCATGTTAGCTGGGCTCTGCAAAAATCAAGACCCTCTTTATACTTTAAATGTTACAGAGTGATTCTCAGAGCCTCCATTTAGAGATTTAAATAATCCTCTCAACCTTTCAAGATATAAAGCACAAAATATATGAGTAAATACATATTTTAAAATGTATGTGAGAAATCTTGAGCCAACATGTCAGCGGCTTCTATACAGAAACATAATGCTTAGCACATCATATGATATGGTACCACATAATATCATACTGCCGCTTAGTTTGACAGCAAGAGAGATATAAGAATAAATTGGCAGATGTATTTGTTACTTTTAAAAGAATACCTGTCCCAAGTGGAGTGTCCTTTACAGGTTTGACAAGGATGAATAGCCAGGTTTCTTTAAACATGACATTGGTGAATACCAGAATATAATTAGAAAAGGTATGGATTAGCATTTCTTGACCTTTTACTGTGACAAGTATTCACTGATAATCTTGAGATTACTGCAGCTGACAGTTACTGAAATATAACCAGACTAACCCCAAAAGCTACAGTCCTAAATACCTCAGCCCTGAAAGACAGGATAGTTTCCCAAGTTTCTTCATTAGATACACTGTATTACTAATGATTAAAAATTAATACTCCCCTTCCCCAAACACTGTCTGGATTTTGGACAGTTTGCTGTCTAGAATGATATTCCAAAGGAATATTTAAAAGAAAATACAGAACATGAATCAGTTCTTTAAAAGTCTTGTCTCTCAGAACACAGCACATTATTGATCTGTTGATAAAACCAGCATTTACATTAGTTAAAAAACCGAAAAAAAATCAATCACTCTAAAGGAAACTTCTCTCCATTCACACTCCTAAGGGGGCATTAACAAAAAATAATGACAATAGAAACCAATTAACACAGATCATGGTTCTTACCCTGGTAACTTTTCACTAGTGTCATCTTGTTGTAATCTTCTGATAAAATGAATTCCTGAGGGAGGAGAAAGGAAGAACAAAAGAAACAGTGCTTAGAGATGTAAAGTGTTTGAGTGTTTTCATTTCAATTAGCTACCAAGGTAAGCTCTCCCTTATTTGCAACCACAGCCCTATCTATACTTTTGCTAATTTTGAGTACCTCCACTAAAAAACTGAATTATTTAACTTTTTTAAGCTGCCTAAGAAACATCACACTGAATCACACAGAATTGGCCTAGACTGCAAAAACCTTTAAGAGTCCAACCATCAACCTAACACTGACAAGTCATCACTAAACCATATCCCTAAGCACCATGTCTATCTCACTCTTATATTCCTCCAGGGAAGGGGTCTCAACCACTGCCCTGGGCAACAGGTTCCAATGCCTGATAACCCTTTCAGTAAAGAAATTCTTCCTAATATCCAACCCAAACCTCCCTTGGTGCAACTTGAGGCCATTTCCTCTTGTCCTGTCACTTGTTGCTTGGTTGAATAGTCTGATCAACTGCTTCTGAACAGAATGGTGGAGATAAAAGAGGAACCATTTAAAAAAAAGAAGTCAAAAAAGCTGATAGAAATGGCTGGCTATGAGCGGAGGTATCATAAAATGAGATACCTGAGATCTGGTACGCAGCAAAACACCGTTAGGTTGTGGAGTCTCCTTCTCTGGAGACATTCAAAGCCCACCTGGACGCATTCCTGTGTGACCTACTGTAGGTGATCCTGCTCTGGCAGGGGGGGTGGACTAGATGATCTTTCGAGGTCCCTCCAACCCCTGACATTCTGTGATTTGCTCACGACTGCCTCGGCAGAAACCTGCATATGCAGATAGCTACTTGTGCACAGGCATGCATGTGTGTATACACGGCAGTCCATGTATGCACATACACTACATCCAGACCTGAACGCTCAGGAAACTCAATATAATAATGTAAAGAGCCCCCTGAGGTTGCTCAGTCCAATCTAGGTACCAATACCCCATGACAGGAACACGTTTCTGATTTCTGTTCAAAAAGCCTCTCGGCGCTCCAGACAAATAGAACCTCCCCACCTTGATTTTATCCCACTACTGGTCAATATTTATCCTGGTATCTCAGAAGCAGACTTTCTTGCTTTGCTACTGCTTTGCTGTGGCTAACAAGCAGCTGTGCGTGGGACAGGGGCTGGCTCAGCCCAGGCTGAGGCTGCCTGGGAGGAGATGCACGGTGTGACCCAGCTGGCCGGGGAAGAGCAGGGCAATGGGATCTGAGTCTGCAGCCCTGTTGCCTTGGGGCTGCCTGTTCAACATGGCTTTTGCACAACGAAATTATGAAAAAGGCAGCTAAGAGTCTGCATGGCAGCCTCAGCTTTTGGAAACACCTTGCATGGTTAAACTGAGTGAGCACCTGCGTGTCCCTGCCGCTCCTTTAGAAAAGAAGAGTTGCTCAGAGCTGGGGAAACGCTGGTCACCACAAAACTCCTGCAAAACCTCTCTGGAGGAAACACCCAGGGAAAGGGTAAGCTCCGTGGCACAACCGCGTGAATTAGCTTTCAAATGCTGTCGGGTATCTGCATGAGTACACCACGTACTCAGAGAAACACAACAAATAAACAAGGAGTGTAAAACCACATCATATTAATAATTTATAGCAAACTACACAAAACTCCCTTAGCTCATCTGCCTAGGGAACAGAAGTAAAATCTAGCTAGTTAATCTAAAATAGGATGAAAAATAAAAGAAACATTACAAATACAAAATAAGCTAAATTTTACAGCATACGCTTGTGAAATGTTCATGGACAAGCACTGCCAAAGCAATGTGCAACAGCAGAGTGGACTTCAGGAGCCCACAGACTGTATTTAACCAAACATTTAGTGCAAAAGAGCATGAGAAGACATCCTAACCACAGAAAAGCCAGTATTTACCCACAGTTTCCAAACTGGAATTAAAAAAAGAAGGTCACTCTACCTACAGTGACCCCACAGAAAATGCAATCTGTACAACTTTCCAGCACCAGGACTGCCCTAACACACTGTAACTACTGCCTGGCACCAAGGGGAAGAGGCTACAATACTCATCTGTGGAACATCTACCGATCCTAGCTTCCAGGAAAACAACCACGAGTGATTTGAGGCAGCTATGTATGTAGTTTGCTGTTTCCAGGTTTCTGTTCCTAACTTATTTATAAATATGTTCTTTTGAACTTCTCTACTTCATCTTCGTCTCCTTAATCTGCTCTACCTCCCATTAGCTTTCCCCTGCAGCTGAGGACTACGGTGGGGAGTGTTATTTAAACAGCAGTAACAAATCAATTAAGTCAGATGGATTTCTACAGCAGGGTCACCTTAACTCTACAAACCACAGAAAGTTAAAAATCTGCTCTACCTCGCTCGCTACTTACAGAGGAAGCGGTGTTCATTAGCACTGCCTGATGAATACTAAACCACCACATGAAATGCTTTCTTACAAAGCCTACTGAAAGCAAGACCCTCTACTATGAATACTCAACGTTTTGCTGTTGTTACCTAGGGAGGAATGGCCTCAGTTGCTGCCACATGTGGTGGGAGAATATGTCTGTCCTTCCCACCCATCTGTCTGCCCCAACTTTGACTGTGGTGACACACAGATGCTGGTGACTTCAGGTGGGATGAAAAATGTGATTTGCATTTTCATTGCGTTTTTCCCTCGATAAATTTGATGCGGCCATTCTGTTCTGTGATCTGAACAGCCCCATAGTTTCAGTGGAAGACTGAAAGGGCTTTTGAGTCTTTCCACTATAATGCAGCGAATCAAACACAGTTGCAGTTCGTAAGGTTTACTCAAGTACTGATTAGTTCTGCACACTTTAATACAAACCACAGCCGTATACTATTAATACACTGCTTCCTACAGAGAGATAAGCAAATACAGTACAAAATAAACAGTTCAAATTAACCTGAACACTGGACACAATTTTTTCTTCCTTTTTTATTTTTCCTCCCCTGAAGATTTCTTGCTTTTCAAGCAAGCATATGATAATCTGCAATGTATCTTGTTGCTTTGCATTTTCTAGTCTTTCTCCGGGTCTTTTACTCCCCACTCCTCTTTGCACTATCACGTGTTTTTCCATTGCATTCATTCCCCTCTTCCTCTCAAGGCCAAATGTCTTAGCTGCGTCAATAGACAGGTATTTTAGCACAGGGCACCTTGCTCAAGAAATTCATGCCCTATTGCACATACATTGTGTCATCTGCACTACAAAAACACCGACTACATCTCTTTCACGTTGCACCAGCAGAAACTGTTTTGTGTCTTTTTATTCTGTCATGCATAGATGTTTTCCTCCTCTCAGAGTTGCTGACGCTCAGCTCTCATTAGGCAGCTTTTTAGTTCTTCTTAATGAGGGAGAAAGGCTGAGGTCACCCGCATAGCTCAGCCAGCGCTTGTTAACAGAACAGGGAAAGATTTCAGAGTCCTGTGCAAGCGCTTTTGCAAACAAGGCTCTGGGATATATCAGTGCTCAGGATGGCAAAACCAAAGCCCCTCCTTGCAAGGATTAAAAACATTTTAGCTCTTTGCTCTTCAGAGGTTTTTTTGGAGCTACTTTACTACTTTTTTTACCATACTAAAAATGTTACTGATCAGTCTTGGCTGTTACAGGTAAGGCTATTATTACAGCCGTGACTTGATACCGTGAAAGTCTTCACAAAGTAGAAAGGAGAAGTCTCGAGCATCTGAAAATACTGTCTGATCAATCTAGCACCCACTATTGTACAAAGACTATTAACTACAGCTCCAGGGAGCGCACCTCCCTCACACTCAACCATATACACCCACCACAAATTTCACTTGAGCCTAAAGATTCTGTGAATTCTCATCCTGGAAATATCAGCAGTGTGTTTCAAATGAGTCTTGCTAAGGCAAACAAAACCCACAAGTCAAGTGTGTGCCATTTTAGAGTCCTTGGCCATGGGGCTGGCTGACTCTGCCCAGGGTCCAAGGAAGACCCTTGCCTGTCCAGAGCTGCAGGTGGATGCCAACTGATATATCCCGAAATGGCACTAGAGACCTCTGGTTAGGCAATCAAATACATTTCTGACACTTAATGATCTTTGTATATTAGTTAAGTGTAACCCATTCACAACCTGGTTCCCATCCCAGGGAATTTACTAGCTCTGTTCTAATAGATGCACCACTCTGAGAGCACACTGCAAATCTCCTTAAATACTTGACTTCATCCTGTTAACACAAGTGACCAGCAGCACTTTCGAGTCTTCCAGAGAACAACAGACCCACTTCAGAAATTAAAGAGAATAAAGACTCTTTAATCTGCTGTGAGAGCCTACGTTTATGTCTGTTACAAAGAAAGCACTCTAAAAATTATTAGAGTGGTGTTTTTCACTTTATAAATTGCAAAACCTGGGAGAGAACAGAAACTATCATGTAGTTTTCTTGAGGGAAAAAACAGTAAAACTTCCCACAGTGGCAGAGGGGAAGGGTGCACATCAGAAGACTCAGTCTCAGGTATTCAAAGTGTTGTTTATGGCCAAACCTGTAGACACCTGCAAGATCAGATCATGTGGAAGACTAATTTATCTTAATAAGTACCATTCCCAAGGAAGAACTCTAAAGGGGTTATTCTGGTGCCCTGTCATCCTTGTGGCCCTGATCAAGGTGTGTAACAGCTTAATCTAGACACAAGCATGGTCAGCAAAAGAGATCAATTTAATTCACCTTCAGTTACCTAAACACTAAATCACCCATTTAATTCTTCCCTGAAAAAGGGAGAGAGATTTCTGCTATTCTAAAGAGTTTCTAAGGCAAGTAGCATAGGTGTCTCCAAAGGCAATTCACCTCTACTGGCTACAGAACCTAATGATTAACTTTACCCAGGAAGCTAATTTTCAGATACATGAAACTAGATGAGGAGTCTCATCTTGGCTGTGGAGGTCTCCTGTCTCCTGCAAGTAATAGACATCTCCTCTATTTCTTCTTCTTGGGGTGTCTTGAGAGCATGTTCTTCTCCACTTCAGAGCAAGGAATTTATGACCATGTCTTTTGGTTTCCAAAAGGGACCTTAGGCAGTCCCTAAGATATAAAATAACAGAAAAGCCACTTCTTTTCAAATAAGGTTTGCAAAGTGTAAAAAAACAACACCAAAACCCAAACATGTTTATAGAAACATTTTTTTTCTTTTTTACTTTAGGTGCCACTGCTATTCAAGCAAGATGTTAGACAGTCTTTTGCTCAAGAGACTGGTCTACTGTGCTGCACAAAATGTTTCTGCAGTCTGCATGTTGAGAAGTTACATAAGGTTGAAAACAATCTCTTCATCTCTATAGAAGTGAAAATTGTCACTATTTCACAAGGAAAGGAGGCTGTACAAGCTCACCTCACAGTGGCTTTGCTGGAACATTTTCTGTGACAATAGCATTGCTGCCCATCCTTCTTAAATTGTACTACACACATTTCTGAGGTGCCAGGCTTATAACCAAAATTCATCCAGTTCACCAAAAAAATCATGTAAAAGAAAAAAGGCAGTTCCACTTTCTCATCCCCATTCACATCTGACAGTGAAAGCAATACTTCCTTGCACTGTAAAACAATTATTTTGGGATTATGTGGCACTCTCGTGACTATTATATCAGCTTCAGCTCTTGCCAGGAGTCCTCTCCCTCTACACAGTCAAACTGATGATGTAGAATGATTTTTCATCATTTTTTTTCGGTTCTGCACCCAGCGTGACCATGGGTGTCGGGTGTTACCAGAAGCGCTAACATGGAACAGCTAATTCCCAAGTATTTCAAGCTCCTCAGGTAAATTGCCTGTGCTCTTCCTTCGAGGGCCACACAATTAAAAGTCAGGGCACTAAGGTCACCTCGTTGCACTAAGTTCTCTTATTCTGTGGTCAGCATGCCCTGCCTGTATGCTCCTGTGCTAAAATCATCATCATAGCTGTTTCCAGAAAGGAAAATTTATCCTTTCCTCCAGAGAGTGGTTGTAACCCACTTTCAAGTACCTGGGGATTTTATCTACCACCCTAATACTACTGGGACTTGAATATGGGGCTACCCTTACTCATCTTCCCACCTCTACCACTTGTTGTAGCACATCACAGTTGTGGCTTCTCTTACAAATCTTGGGTTTGCTCCAGAGGGAAACATTTCATCACCTGTGGAAGTTTGCGAAGTGCATCCCCTACCACACAACTGCCTGCAGCTACAGGGGACTAAATCAAGCAACACAGATAAGCCTTTCCCCCCTCCTATGTACTTATATCCATAAGACTGGAAAAAGAAAAGCCCATCTTAGCAACAAACAGAATCTGCCTTAGACATGGCAATGCATGTCTCTAAGTATCCAAAGTCACATGTTGATTTACCAACTGCATATTTCATTTGCCTTCTTTAGCTTCAGAATGGAAAATATTTGACTTCCATCAGACTCAAGCACCCTCTGACTCTTCAAGGCAAAATGCCCCCGAGATAAAGGACACATCTCTCCCGTCATGCCAGAGTATTTAAATACCTTATTTACAGTCCTTTACATTCCTCAAGGGCCTGGTGAAAACAAAAGTGCCTGGTAGGACTGGCAAGTTACAGCTATTTCAAGAGAATGGGAAGGAGGGAATTTCAGAGGTGCAGGGAATTCTCTGGCAGCTGTCCCAATTCCTAGATAAAAAAGAAGAAATCTCCTACAGGCACCAAAAAAACCACCCCACAACAAAAACAAAAAACCAACCAACTCTGCTACTAGTCCTTAATAGCTTTATAGGTCAAAACTTTCACATCTTTGATACAGCTCACAGGCCACAGCTAAAAAGGTCACACAACCTTTTCCTAAATACCATCTTGGCTTTAGTGCAGACAGCTGCCCTTACGTCAACCTGCAAACACTCAGTTATAAAGTCCATAAGGTAGAGACAACAGCAGGAAAAATCCGAAATGATGGTTAAATAATCTAAACTGGAAGAGAAGTCTATTGATAAGGCACAAGTGAAAAATAACTCTCTGACCCATGACCCTTCCCCAAAGTGATATAGCTCTTTACTCATCATCCCACAAGAAAAACCCACTAAGGTCAGCTGCTACCCTCTGTTCCAGATTTAAAAGACAGACTCTGGTTTTAATACCCTGCTTCCTTTCCACACACACGTATTTCAGATGTTAACGAAGCAAATCTTTCAGCAACAGCACTGCCAGTCAGGAGAAACTGCCCTAAAGAAAGTGAGAGGAAAACAAAATCTGAACCCAGAAGTTCAGAAAAGCAGCTCCCAGAAGATTATCTTTCCCCTTTTAATTGCTGCTTTCAGAAAACTTGACTAACTTGACTAACAAGGCGCTCACATTTAATAAAAAACAAAAACTGTTTTTCTGTGTTGCTATTTTTTTAAGAGATATGCACATTAAGACAGTTTGTTGAAATGCCTGAAAAATATTGTAAACCCCAGTCAATCTCTTTGTAGCAGTTGGAATGAACTTTTTAATCATCTGCCATTTTCTACACTAAAGCTTCAGTTTCACTAGCAGTAAAAAGTCTCTCTCCCAAACACTTGTAAAAATATCCTCACCACAACATCACACATATACTTCTCAAAAAGGAAGCATTTCAACTAGAAATCTTTGGATGTACTTACTGAGATTGTACCATTGTCTAGACCTATGGACAGCCTTCTGGTTTCCGGGTTAAAAGACATGCATGAACATGGAGCTGAAAAAAATGAACATGTTGATGAAGTTAACAAAACTGCCATTCTCATTTTCTTGAAGTTTTGGAAAGCCTAAAACTAGCTAACATGCTTTATGATGCTGTTCAGCATTTTGCCCCTTCCAGTAGACAAGCTTTGGGTTTTTTTAAAAAAAAAAAATGTTCTTGCAATTCATTCAACCCTATCCTATTAGGACATGGAACAATGACTATCTCTTGCTCCAGCTCCTTCATTTTTTTCTCACTAGTTATCTGAAAACAGGCATGTCATACAAGAGCAGTGGTGGTGTTCTGATATAAGCAGGCCTTGACATTTCAGTATAAATCCGAGAGATTACTTAGCTGAATAATTTAATTTTTTTACATTTGCCTGAACTTTGCTGACAATAAAACACTGTATTATGACAGAGGCTTGCATCCTACACCCTGCACCAAGAAAGTTAACCTGTAGCAAATAATTTGGATTGTAAGTCCAACCGTGCCCTACTCCAGTTTCACCACAGACAATACTCTGACAATATCACATACTATAAAATAAAATACTATACTATATATATAAAATACTATAAAATAAAACAAAATACTATAAAATAAATAAAATAAAAATAAAATGTTGTATGGAAAATTAGTCATTGTTTTATTATATCAACACTGCTCTAAGACACATTGGGATATACTCTTAATTTGCACACAGGTCAGATCCCTTGAGGATCGCATCAAGGTTAAAATCAGAATTTTCTTGCAAGAATTCAAGAGCTCTGCTTGGTTTGACTGAGAAATTGTGAAGTTGCATTCAGAAGGAAGAGATTGTATTTACTGCTCAACACAGCAGCGGGCAACTGGGAGTCCTGCTGTCCCAACAGAAGCCTTCAGGAATTATTTTTCAGCAGCAGTTGCCAACTGCAGTTAGGGGCAAGCATTTTTGCTCCTTCAGTACTGGTAAGAGTGGTTTTTAAATGATATATTTGTGATAGAGTACAGTCAAGATGTGCTTTTAGTTCTGCTTTTTCCCTCTCTCGGTTTCTACTCTCCTTTGTGATTGCTCACAGTTTTTTTGGTGGTAACAAGCTTGGAGCCCTCTCCTTTGCAGTACTGTATATCTGGTATATTTTCCATTTATGTAATGCCTCACTTAGGATTAAACAGCCCATAGCTCAGCAAATCTTCCTCCACAGTTTTGTTGACAACAAAGCTATATGAAGAGAATCTGTTGACTGTTTAACAAAACTTGTTCTACCTTCAGTATTGAACCCCTCCTTGAAGCATTTCCCAAAGGAAAACCAACAGCAAGCAAAAAGCCAACCAGTTCCACATCTAAGCAGGCACCTGGATTTATTTAATTCCTGGAAAGGCTGACAGAATTAAATCAAAGATGAGGCTTCAGTTCAAGAAAATTGCCAGAAAACAAACATCTAAATTAGGGCTAGTAATCAGTGACAAAATTGTTCTTTCCCTTATTTCTCCCTCAGAAAAGGCAAACTCGAATCGTCCCTTCAGATGATGGTGCATTACTGTTATATTGAGGCTTGTGGGATTGTAGCAGAATAAAACAGTTGTATGAAAAACAGACAGACCAAAAAAAAAGGCGGAATAAACATCAAATTCTTTTAAAAGCATTTAATGCAAGAACAGGCATATTCTACATATTAGCTTTCAAACACTAGACACTGTGCATACATTGAAAGAGCTCCCAGTAACTCCGAAGGCAATAAAGGAGCTTGCAGAGGAAAAGTCTCAAGTAAATTAACTATTTGAAGTATGCTTTCCCCAAATAGCCTGAAACACTTCAGACACAAAAGGTGAAAGCAACTGCTTGACACTGGCTGATAACAAAAAGTCACTTCTAAATTTTAGACCTGTGTGTACACAGTCACAGCAGTGTAAAGATATTTAGTACACTATAATAATTTTCCTAATGGAATTCTTCAGTAACATGTGCTCTTCTAAAAATCACTATCAGCACTAAAATTAGGTCCACAGTAGTTACACTAATGTAAGTTGAAGTTATGCCCCCTAAAGACTACAGCAGTTTGCACTTTAATGAAAATAAGATGACGTTCAGAAGATACTTCAGCACTTAGGCTCATTAAGAAGGGAAGAAAAAAAAAACGTAAATAAGAAATAAACGAAGAAAAAAAGAAAAAAGAGTCTTCCAAACTCTAAATTTCCAAGATGTTTGAGAACCTTTTCAAATAATAGCAAGGAAAAATAATGGCATTCTGAAGGCCCTCAACTTCAGTGCCTAGTTATGATTTGGATTTTGGACTGAAAAAAGATTGATCTGAACTACTACAGAGGGCAGGCAGGGTACTCCTGACACAGAAGCCTGGCTGTAGTCTTCATCTTAAATACAAGGTAAATACACTCTGATTTTAGCCTTTGAAAAACGAGTTACAGAGGAAAGCCCTATTACATGCTTTGTGCCTTCAGCAGTGTTTCACCTCTGCCGGAGGCTGAGGGAAGTAGAACAAAAATACAAACTTTGTACCTGAGTTCCAGGGACAACCCTATGCGTCTAAAAGTGGCATAGTTTAAGACGGCAGGAGGATGTTTTGCTTTACCTTTTTTGTACCCTCCTACCCAAAGCAGTGTTAGCCATGAAAATCATCGTAAGACAGATACTGTCCTATCTGCCTCAAAGACTGGATAGGCCACTGTTCCTCACCACAATAAATCCTTTACTCGATTCCATTTCTGTGAGAAGTTTTTCTTGGGTTGGGTTTGGATCTTTTTGAGTGGTTTTGGGTTTTAGGTTTTGTTTTCATTTGTTTCTTTCTGGCAAAGCTTACTTCTATTGACTACAAATCCTTTCCCTTTCATAAATCTGTGTCTAAGATGTGGCGTTTTGTGGGTTTTTTTCCTGTACAGGCACTGCCTAAAAGTCACACATATAACCATGGTTAAACTTCTATAAACTGTGTTACACATGTGTAACCAAGGGTACACATCTAACCATGACGAGGGTTAACATGCTCATCAGAGGTCTCTTGTTATTACTGTTGTTGAGACAATGCTGGCCTGAAAGAGATGTCTTAACCAGGTTTCCAGCTTCCTTTTGTATCCACAGTTTTACTAGAGGAGATGATCAAAAATGTGGCCACCATGTCATCCAGAATTTTCCAACCACAGAAACATCCACAGGCAGGGCATAAAATTGTGTAATTGGGGAAATTCCACCTCTAAAAGGCAGCAAGTGTCTCTACTATGAAGAGACCTACAATCTTGATCTTTTTTCCCAGGTATTCAGTGAGTTTCACATCAGAATACACTGATAGCCCCATTTAGGTGCAGAGGTTGACCAAAGAACATGGCTGACTTGGCCCAGCAGCTCATCCTCCTCATCTCCCAGAGTACTCAGGGTGCAAACTAGGTTATTAAGACTACCCGACACCAAACCATAAAATAGTGTAGGTCATGGACCACCATAACCAAAGTCATGAATCATGCTAATGGGCTATCTGTAGGTGGGACTGCCACTCACAGCTTGCTAAGCACCACAAAGGCACCATGGGGTCTACTAGATTTTTATGCAGGAGCCCTCTGGGCAGTCATTCTCTAAACAACAAAAAAATAGTATGAACCTAAACCAGAAACAGACAAAACTATCATTCCCAGTCAAGTGCAGACTTGTGCAGGGGCTGACTCAAAGACTTTCCTACAATTTCCAACCTTAAAGCCATTGCTGATAACAATATAATAGGCATTGCCCCAGTCATTAATTATACCTGATCATTCTTGAACTTGGTGAATAACACAGCACAATTTTAATATCTCACGGCTCAAAATAACAGTCTTCCAAATGAAGGAGCAGTGTCAGGTGTTCAGATTTATGAAGGAGCTTTAAAATAGTCCCCTTTGAGTGGATCTGGATCTACTCCATCTTTTCCAGTGAAGCTGTTATTACTGGCAATGATGCAGCCTTGCTACGACCAGAGGAGAACCTAACAAGATTTTAAAATGAAGATGTATGCAAGAACACCATATGCAAATAGAGATGTATCAGTGCCAAACTGCTAAAAAAGCCATTTCATAAGTTTGACTGGGGAAAGCAAACCTCCTAGAACAGGTCAAAGGAACTCAGGCCACTGCTTGTGATCATGACAGAGCTCCACAGACTGCCACATCATTAGCTGGTTTCCAATACGTTTTTGTGCAAAATCTTGAGCAGAAAGTACCTCTGAGGTTTGACATACTCTTATGAGATAGTCAATCACCAAAGGAAGAAGAAAGATCCTCCTCTCTACCAAATAAATGCTTTCCTGGAGCAGGCAGTCAAACACCAGGGACTCTCTAGGGTCTCGATGCTGTTTTGGTACTGAAACTTACACCTACTAAATAACTTTACATATCATGGAGACAGATGTCTTTTCCAAAGCTAGCTATCTTAGCTTAAAATAATTCTTTCTCCAGACAGTAAGAATACCTTGACGGACTTGACAAATGCTCCTTAATCTGTGGATTTAAGGTCAGCCTCATAAGCTTTCCAAAGACAGGCTAACCCAGCACATCTGAAGCTGATGGAGGAGCATCACCATACCCCTGCTGCTGGTGACCTGCAGAGATATACTCCTGCACTCAACTTAGGAGTTATGACAAACAACTAGGGCTGCGATTTTTTCAACTGTCTCTTGGAAAAATGAGCTTTGACCTGCAGTTTCTTTGAAAGCATGAATGCTCTCTCTGGGAGAGGAGACATACAGCAGATCGTAATGGAGTGGTCCGCCAGGGAGATTTGGTTTTCGACATTTAATTGCAGGGGTAAAATTGCTCTGTTGCTTCACTGGAAGAGCTGCCTTCCCTGTCTAGTATCCTCACTATCATATTAGCTGCCGCAGGATATTAAGTTCTTACCAAATAAAACCATTTACCATTGCACTCTAATGGACTGAGCACATGCAGTAGGAAGGGCAGAGTGATTTATACTGAAGACTTACAGAGCTTTATGGACTCCATTAGTGGCAGAGTGTAAGACTACATTTGGAGCTCCCACGTTTTTCAATCTACGTTTGCATTAAATGCTCACTCCTTGCCAGTATATCTGTATCCTTTTGCTGCTGTAATCCCTGATGCTTCTCAGAAGCATAGGCAGGCAACTTGGTAAAGCTTCACAGAAGCCAAGAGGATTGTTCAAGAATAATAATTAATATGCAGTGATAAGCTTGGAAATGGTCACAAACATGAAACTTCATCAAAATCAGAAAAGTCACTTTGTAAATACACAGTAAACAGTAAATAACTCCTTATACTCACATGGCATTGCATGGTATATGCTGGGCCAGTACTGCCCGCTGTCTCTCTTCAACCAGACACGAACTGTTCTATGAAAGAAAAAAGCACAACACGTGAGGAACAATGAAAAAATAACCATGAATGAAAACAAACTGGTGACAGTGGAGGTACAAGACCTTCTTCAAAACTAAATTATTTTGCTGAGAGGTAAAATGAGCCCCGTACTTCTCCTCCACCCCATTAGTTTGGAGCTGCAGTCCTCACATAGAGGCACCTAGAACCGCACTGTGGACCAGGCCTCCCGACAATCACATCAGTGGTTTCCTCTCTGCTAGAAGACCTTCCCAATGTATCGCAGAATTACTTTTGCCTTCTCATAATCATGTCATACTGGCAGGTCCCTGTCACTCAATCCACGGCCTTAACACTTGAGACACTTGTTCCTTGTTTCCTGAGCAGACAATCTCAACAAAGGCATCGACTGGGTCATTAAATATTTACTATTTCAGTCCTCACTGTCATTCATTTGTTTTGGTCCAATCTCAGAAGCCTCTTTCTAATTGAAGCTCTCTCTTAACTTTAGCTCATCAGTCATTTTCATCAAAACATGCCTAGGATGTGTCACCAGTTAAAGTAGCAGGCAACCAGTAATCTCCTGGCTTATTCCTGCCTAGCCCACCATCATCTCAATCACAGCTAATAACCTGCGCTACTGTTCCTCAAATCCTTACCATCTCTAATTTTAAGGAGTAAACTTCACACAATACTGTATTCCATGCTTTAGACCAAATGTATTGACGTTCTCTAAAAAAAATGAGTTATCCAAGACAGTAAAGTGTTAGCAAAGCACAATTTTAACGTGACATTCACTTTTATTTAGTCTTTTCTACGAAAATTAGCATGCAATAGTAGATACAAGAGGGATCTAAACAACATCTCCCTTATGAGGAAAGGCTGAAGGAGCTGGGTCTCTTTAGCTTGGAGAAGAGGAGGCTGAGGGGTGACCTCATTAATGTTTATAAATACGTCAAGGGGAGTGTCAGGAGGACAGAGCCAGGCTCTTTTCAGTGATGTCCAACAACAGGACAAGGGGAAATGGGCACAAGCTGGAACACAGGAGGTTCCACAAAAATATTAGGAACCACTTTTTCACTGTGAGGGTGACAGAGCACTGGAACAGGCTGCCCAGAGAGGTTGTGGAGTCTCCTTCTCTGGAGACATTCAAAACCTGCCTGGACGTGTTCCTGTGTGACCTACTGTAGGTGATCCTGCTCTGGCAGGGGGGCTGGACTAGATGATCTTTTGAGGTCCCTTCCAGCTCCTGACATTCTGTGATTCTGTGAACTATTGTTAAACATAAGCTTTATTTTCCTGCAGCAAATCTACAACTTAAACTTGACAAAATTATCATCAGCTTACGATTTTTGATAGCAATAGGGCCAAATCGTTCTGCTGCTTCTTTCTGTAGCTAACTGTAGCTGTTGTCAGAGCGACATTCTGCATCTGGACCTCAGCACACAGCTCTGGGAAGACATCCACAGTCACGGGGCTGCACACTAGGTTTGGGACAAGGTCCAAAACCTTTCAATCCACCCAAAGGGGATCCACCTTTGCTAATAAGGTAGTCACTGTAATTCTGGAAATGGATCAGACACTGTTACCCAAGCAGACAAGATTTGACTAATGTGTTTATCCTCGACAAGCAAAGTTATTGTGGGAACGAATGAATGTGCACAAAAAAATAATGGGATTAATCACAGGGAGCTGAAATAATAACCCTTGAGGAGGTGCATCAAGTCCGAAAGACTTGTCTTTCTTGACCATCCCAATATACATATTCAGTGCTACCAGCTTCAAAAATCTCAGGCTTCAACAAGGTTGTCTGTTCTCTCCAGTTCAAGGCTCTGCGAAATAATAAACCCAGAACAACATCTTACAGATCATTTGGCTTATTAAAAAAGGACTCAGTAAAAAAAAAATCTTTCAAAAAGCTGGAGAAAATAAAAATATTTTTTATTTGCAAGAATGGCAATGAATTTAGATGTTTTGCGGTTTGTTTTGCTGATGGTTTTTTAAACTGTACCCATTGTACATTTACTAAGTAATGTTAGATGGATGATATTGAAACAAATATATTTTCTGCTTAGCCTTAAACAAAAAGAAGGGGCAGGTGAAACTACTTTCACCACTGTAGGCCTCTTCTGCAGGTACACAGTATGCTCATTTCTTTAAGTAGTAAAATATGTTTCCATTCAACAATTAATTCATGCAAAATGAGAAACAAAGCATTCTAAGAATAGAAAGACTGTGTAAAGATGTTATCTAATTCTGAGGTGTGTGAAAGCGAACATAACCAGCAGATCGGTTCATGTAACTTGTTACAGAAATAGTTATCTCCCCAGGAAGTAATTTTAAATAAAGGAAAACAAAAGATCTTGTAAACAACTTATTTTAAAATTAAGGATGATTATCATGCACATCTTTAAAACAGCATTTAAAAGCTATGTTAAACTTTATAATGGAATACCAATGTCCACGTATAACTTGATATAAAAGCACAAAAATTCTTCGTTATGTCAGAAAACGATGAGTCATGGATTTTCTTCTCTTAAAATCACTGGATTAGATAAGACATTTTACTAAAAGAAGGAAAACTGACCTTTGTTCATTAAACTTTTCTGTGTAACTTTTTCTCATAGTAAATTCATGCTAAAGACCAAACTGCACCAGCAACTGAACTTGGGAGAAGCCAAATGTTTTTGGAAGAAAGCAGCTTTTTTTTCAGCTGCAGTTCTGCACATTTTTGTATACTTAACACAATACTACCCACTAGACGTGAAACTCAGAGCTTCTGAAGCATCTGAAGAATGCAAAGAAAAAAACCAAGCATGAATGAAAATAAGTCTTTTTATGGATATATAGCATGAAGAATACTTGCTGGTTGCATAGTTACTGGACTCAGACAGAGCACCCACCCAGGTCAGGATCCATTCTTCAGCTGCTCTAGAGCAATTCAGTTGGCATCACCGTGGAAATGAGTCATCCCTTCATTTTGCTGTGAGTGAATTGGCTTAGAAAGATTTTTAGAACCTGTCAAATCGATGGATACTCTTGTAGTCTTTTCATAACACAGATAATTTATTTTTAAATGAGACAGGCTATGCAGAAATAATTCTGCCGTGCAAAAGACAGGCGATGTCTTCAGATATTAAGGGGAGTTGAAAAATGTGTATTTTAAAAGAAAAATTACCCCTCCCTGTTATGCTCAAGAGTATGTGTCTCAAGTCCAGGTGGCTGTGGTTGTACCAGCAGGTCTCAAAAGCACTACTAGGCTGTGCACGTGTGCAGGAGCCAAGTTTCTTCTGAGCACCTACTGCTCACAGAGGCACCTGTGTCAAACAGCAGCTCTGCACTTCACCATCTGCAGATACTTAATCACTGGTACGTGCCTTGGTGTCTCCTTTCCGTGAAAGGCATTTCGCTCATACAAATCCTAGTTCTTGCCTTTAGGCTGCAGTGTGTTCCACCAGTTGGTGCAATGCTGCCAGGCTGGATGCAAGATTCTCTACTTGATCCCTTAGCCTGCCCTGAGCGGTCATCTCACTGCTGCTAAAACTTGGTGTCGTGTGGAGCTGAGTCTCTGTGACTCACTCATTGGCTTTTCTCCTTGGTGCCTCACATGAAATTAAGACAAAAAGACAAATATTGATGCTGCATACAGCACAGGCATATTAGACATGTCTAAGCACTGTCCCAAGATGGTTGAATGTTGCAATACTGTGAACTCTGTTGTAGGGAGATCCAACATGACCATTGAGACCCAACACCACCACTGCCTCAAGAAACAAGTTATTTTACTCCACTGCAGAATATATGTGTATATATGTAATATGCAGAATATCCATAAAACCACCAGTTCTAGTTGTACAGTGTGAGTGAAGAAATCCAATATACCAGTTGCTCATAACAGATCCCTCCTCTCCTGTTTGTGGATGTTTTCCTTCCTCGCTCCTGCCTTTTTAAACATTTCTCTTCACTGAGCTGCACTTGTGCGACGCGCTATCGCCTTCGTGCCCCAGGCATACGCCAGCTGTACAACAGAGCAGATGTAAGCCTCAACACATACAATTTGCTACAATATTTTGTAGGGCTTCTTGGGCTGCAGGAAATTGTTTTAAATGGCATTTTAACATACTCCTCATTATTGTTTATAACTGGGACCATATATTGCAGGGGGTTTTTTTTGATGTCCTGTCTTGATAAGGGACCAAGAGGGGTAAGCATTGAAACCCACTACAAGGTGTGGAGTTTTATTCCTATTTGTAGTGAGCACCTGGTAGAGAAATTTTAATTTGTCCCTTTCTAAAGTCATACCAGGTTTCTCCAGAGATCAGCACCCGCCCTGTGTGCAATAGTGCTCCTTGAGAAAGCAAGGTAGGTCATCAGTGCAAATGGCATTACATGATTAAAAATAAAGACATCCTCTTCGGTCAGCTGTTCTAAACACAGAACTGATTTAACACATTTACAGCACAGTTTCCACATAGGAAAAGGAAGACACTAAACTATTTTGGAAAATTCTTAAAAATGCTCATTTAGCCATTTAATTGACAGAAGAAAGGAAAAGAGTTTGGGACAATGCTATATCCAGGGTTAGTGCAATCTATGAGGTTTCAGGCACACCTAATAGAGTATTAGAACATATTCTTGGTGGATAAAGAACTGGCTGGATGGTCGCACTCAAAGAGTTGTGGTCAATGATCCAGTGTCCACACGGAGACCAGTGACAAGCGATGTGCCTCAGGG